GCGGGGTCTCTGGGAGCCAGACCGGAGGAAGACCAGACACCTGGGCCCCAGTGCAGGGCTTGGGTCTGCCCCCGTCCCCAGGCTGGGGGATGGGAGTGTTGGGGTCCGGTGTGCCCGGGCAAGGGTGCTCTAAATCCACCTGCTGCTCCCCCGACGCCCAGGAATGCACCCTGAAGGTCCAAGACGGGAAGTTTAAGCTGCAGGATCTGCTGGTGGTCCCCATGCAGAGGGTGCTCAAATACCACCTGCTCCTCAAGGTGAGACTGGCTGGAGTGGGTCAGGGCCCGGCAGCCCCCGGGGCGTGGGGTGGGGCCCACAGAGAGGCCAGGGTGACGAATGAACAAGCGCATAGAGTGAGGCAGCCCTTGCTTAGCGCCTAAAACCTGCAAAATAAGTGCCAGGAGCTACGCGGTATTTGTATGTATTATGAATATTTGTCAGTTAGTATACAAGGAAAATTATGATCTAAATCGGTAAGAGAAAAGAAAAACCGAGAGAGACAGAAAAGCATCCTCAGGCCAGAAATAAGAGCTCCTGGGGCTCGTCTCTTAACCCAGTCCCTGAGCTTCCTGGTAGCCACGGAAACAGGAAATCCTTCGGGACAGACAGACCTACGCTGGAGACAGTGGTTTCTGTGAGGTGCCAGGCAAGGCTCTTTAGTGAATCAGCAGGTCACCTGTTAGCTCGGCCCCTGGCTTTGTGCTGTCTTAATGTTCCCCCCCCCCCCCGTTATCCACAAGAGTTGGAGACATCTCGCCTCGAAGCCGTGTGTCTCCTGGAGGAGGACTCGCTGTCTGTCTGCCGGAGTTGGGCGGCTGGACCAGAGCCGGGGGGGGTGGGGGTGGGGGGCTTTGTCCCGAGGGCCTGGCTCTGTCTGCACACCCGGGGCCTGGTGGGGAGCGGGCCCAGGCTGAGACCCCTGAGTGGTCACCCACGCCTCACCACCCCCCCAGGAACTTCTGAGCCATTCCACCGACCGGCCCGAGAGGCAGCAGCTCAAAGAAGCGCTGGAGGCCATGCAGGTGGGTAAACCGAGGCAGGGGAGAGGCCGGGCCAGCCTTGGGCTTCATGGACCGTGCCCGCCCTCTTTGACTGGACCTGGGCTCGCTAACAACCTTACCTCGGTGATCGGAGATGTAGATCTTCCTGGACGGCAGGAGGCAGGGCAGGAGGCAGAGCAGGGGCAGGGCGGTGGATGGGACCCACCAGGGGCAGAGGGGGCGGGTGGGGGGGGGCTTCCCTAAGGATTCTCTTCTCTAGCCTCCCCTGGCCCACAGTGACCCCACCCCCACCCCCAGGCCTCCCTTCCCCTCGCTTCCCTGACCGTCTGCCAGGCTGTCGCCGGAATCCAGGCACCGGACCCAGTGCTGGGCCATCTGACCCTCCCCTGCCTGCTGCCCAGTGTGTGGCATCTGCTTCTGAAATGCCCACTCCACCCAGGCACAGCGCCTCTCCCCTCCTCCCTGTGTCCATGGAAGCCCACTTTGCAGCTCAGCCCCCAGAAGGAGAGCCCAGCTGACGTCCCTCCCCCTCTTAGAACCCTTCTATGGCTCCCCACTGCCTGCTGAGTCAGGCCCAGACCCTCACCCCGGCACGCAGGCCTCCAAAGCTGTGCTGGCTTTGCAGTTGTATTTACCCCTAATGCCCCACCTTCCAGGCAAGCTTGGCCACGCTCAGGCCCCTGAAGGTGTCCGTTCTTTCCCACCTGTGTGTTGGCTCGGGCTGAACCTGTCCTTGTCACCTGGCAATGTCCTGTGCATCCTCCATCTTTGCGAAGTGACCTTCCCAGGGGGATCGCCCCCTCTCTGGCTTCTGTCCCCCCACTGCTCGGCCGTCTGTTTCTGGAGCTTCTCTGAGCAGCGTGTCCTCTTTACGCCAAGTCCTGTGCAAACTCTGTGACCTGTGCCATGGAGGCCCCGGTGCTTGCATGGCTCACCAGGCCCATCTTGTAATGTTCCTGCCTCAGGGTCTCAGATTCTGCCTGGCCAGTGGGCTCCCTGTGTGGACGGGCAGGAGGCACTGGAGGGGAGGCTGGAACCAGCTCTCACCCCCTACCCACCGCCTGGCTCAGGGGCTCCACCCTGGGCTCTGGGTGTCTGTCCCGCTGGGCCCTCTGGATCGCGGTGGGCAGTGCCCCCTGGTGGCCGGCAGGAGACTGCAGCATGTGGGTAGCCGGGCTGCGCGGTGGGATTGCCCTTGTTGCGCCGAGGCTCTGTAGGACCAAGAACTGGCTGGTCCAGGTCGACCTGGTTATTTTCCTTCAACTCTGACCTAGAAGGTGGCCGAGTGACGGGGTAGAAGGAAGCTGTTCTAGGAGGAGGGATTTCCTGGCCCACCAATGGGGTGCAGCTTTTCTGCCTCGTTTGTCAAGTGGGGTGACGCTTCTCACCCCTGCGGTCATTTCGAGGGCCAGCCACCTCTGGGGACGGTGGACGGTGCTTTGGAGATGCCCAGCCCTTGGACGGTGCCATGGGGTTCGTGGCTGAGCCCCTCACGCCCTGCCCAGCGTGGGCCTGCTGACCCGCTCCCCGCCTGTGTTGTGTCCCAGGACCTGGCAATGTACATCAACGAAGTTAAACGGGACAAGGAGACCCTGAAGAAAATCGGCGAGTTTCAGAGCTCCATAGAGAACCTGGTAAGTGTGCTGGCGCCCCAGAGAGCAAAGACAGTCACCGCCATATATACATCTTTTAAAAAATGACTTTCAGGGCTTCCCTGGTGGCGCAGTGGTTGGGAGTCCGCCTGCCGATGCAGGGGACGCGGGTTCGTGCCCCGGTCCGGGAGGATCCCACATGCCGCGGAGCGGCTGGGCCCGTGAGCCGTGGCCGCTGAGCCTGCGCGTCCGGAGCCTGTGCTCCGCAACGGGAGAGGCCACAACAGTGAGAGGCCCGCGTACCGCCAAAAAAAGAAAAAAAAAAAATGACTTTCACAATCTCGGCATCGAATAAGCGGAAGGGCGACCACACGCTCCGTCCGTCCGGGTCGTGCAGCTGTGCTGAGCGCTTTCCGCCGAGAGGGTGGAGCAGCTTCTGGAGCGGAGGCTGACCTTGCACTGCCAGGCTGTGCACCGAGACCAGCCCAGGGGCCCTGTGCACAAAGGCGGCCACTGGCTGAGGGCCCGAGGAGAGGAGCGGTATTGACTGCTCTGCCCTCCCTCCCTCCCTCCCTCCCTCCCTCCCTCCCTGGCCTGGCCTGGGACTCTCTTGGGTCCAAGAGGAGAGTGTGGCGCCCGGGGGAGTGTGAGGCTCCTAACGCTCTGGGACCCCTGGCTCACCCACATCTCCTGTCCGCATGAGGGACAATAGAGAGGGTTTGGTCACCCTGCCCAGGAGTTGCCCTTGAGTTCTCCCCTCCCCCTTGACCTCTAGCAGGCAGGGCTGACATCTCATGGGACCTTATCCTCATCCTGGTCCCTCAGAGGCTCAGCCTCGGGACGTTGGGTGAACCACTGTGTCCTGCGGGGTGAGGAGTTGGGCCATCCCAGGAAGCAGGCACTTCCCCGCCTGTGCCAACCGGTACCAGCCTCTCGCTGATCTGCTGAATGTCTAAACAGGGTTTCTCCGCCTCGGCACTGTTGACCGAGAGGCTGGACCATTCTCTGTTGTGGGGCCTGTCCTGTGCATTGTGGGATGTTGAGCTGCACCCCTGGACTCTGTCCACTAGATGCTGGTAGCACCCCCACCCTCCAGGGGCCCAAGTCATGGCCACCAGATACAACTCCCGACATCACGAGATGTCCCCTGGGTACAGAATCACCCCTGGCTGAGGACCACTGGTTTACATGCATTTTCACTCTCTGGTCCCTGAACTTTTAGAGTCCCGGTGAGTGTCTGTCAAAAGCAAATCAGCACAGAAGCTTTTGCAAAGGAAGCCCCACATGCCCAGGCTAACACCTGGTGCCCATTTGTCTGGTCCTCCCCGACCAGAGTCAGAAGAGCCCAAACGGGACTGTGGTACAGGCACGTGGTGTGAAGACAATCGTAATGTGTCGTCCAGCAAAGAAAAAAGAAGTCGCCGAACAGCATTACGACCCGACCCCAGTTTTCTTTCCTTTCAGAGGGCAGAGGAGGTTAAGGATGGCTGTGCCCCAGGCTGTTAGCAGTGGTGTTAGTGCCTGGTGGGGCCTGGGGCTGTTGGTTTTCCCCTCGTTGAGCGTTGGATGTTTTCTACATGCTCTACGATGGATGGATGGGCGCTACTTTTGTGACAAGAAGACTTTTTTTTTTAAGTTTTTACACACGACTAATTCTTACGCATGAAATGACAAAAGTTAAACAGCAGGGGAGCAGGTGTGGAGCGCTCCTGTGGACCGGGTGCCCTGCTCTGCCCAGCCGTGTGGTTTTCTCCGGACCCCATCCCAGCAGGTGAAGCTGGTGCCTTTCTTCCCGCCCTTTGGAGATGAGACACAGAGGCCCTGAGTCACTAAGCAGGTGCTGGTCCCACCCTGGGTGACACCCATGCTGCGCCCTTCGTTTTGCTCTGGCAGCTCCTGGAAAATGCAGAAAACTCTGAAAGAAGATGCTGAGAGCCCCCGTCGCAGCGCCAGGCAGGCTGTGGCCTGATAGTATTTTGCGGCATATCCTCTCCTTCCTGTTCTGTCCGCGTAGAGACCGCACAGGGAACGTGCCCGGAGACGTCTCTGAATCAGAGCAGAGCAGAGATGCAAACCAGGCAGAAAACGAAAATGAAATCCTTGCAAACCAGAGAGGGGGTTCAGCTCGGAGGCTCTTCCTGTGGTAGATGAACCACCGGCAGGATCCCCGTGTCCTGCCCGCCCTCTATCTGATAAGCGCTGTTTGTTCTCTTTTTAATTTGGTTTCTCGGGGTCAGGCGTCTGGCGTTTCCCACCAGGTTCCCGCTCTGGCTCCATGATAACAGTGGCCTGCTAACTGACCCACACCATCAATCGCCCTTTGTTGCCGCAGAACTGGAGGGAGTCCTCAGCAGGGCCGGGTCTGTGGGGCGCGGAGTCTGCAGGCCCGGTTCCTCCCTGTCATCTGCTCCCCGCTTCTGTCCTCAGCACCAGCCGGGAACCAGTGGGGCTCGTCTCACATCGCTCCCGCCTTCGGTTTCTGCGGAAAACGGCCGCCCCCGGACACGTGCCCACCTGCGTTTCTCTCCACGTAGGGAACTTGCTCTGGCACCGGGACTAACGGCCTCGCCCTTTCTTTCCCAGCAGGTGAAACTGGAGGAATTTGGGAGACCAAAGATCGACGGGGAACTGAAGGTCCGGTCCATAGTCAACCACACCAAGCAAGACAGGTGAGCGGAGTGGGCGCCGGGCTGGGCGGCACCCCTGAGTCAGACATGCCGCTCCAGGGCACCCTGCTCCCCAGCGGGCCTGGAAACAGCTTTTCACGTGGACTTGGCTTTGGGTTGCGCCTTTTTAATTGCTTCCTTCCTTCCCGGTGAGAGCGACGGCCAGTGGCTGCCGCGCCCGTGGGGCTGCCCTGCCTGCGGCCGGCACTGGACCGGCCAGGCTGGGGGACAGCCAGAGGCCCGGCCTGCGAGCGCACGGGCTCCTGGGAGCGGCCGTGTGAGCTGTTTGCCAAAGGACTGGGCAGGAGTGCGGGCGGGCGATGCGAAAGCTCCCAGGGAGCTGGCACGGCCCCAGCTTGTTTGGTCCTCCACGCACACCTGCTGCGTCCAAGGCCTGGGGCCGTGGCCGGGGTCACAGAAGACATGAGCCCTGCCCCACGCGTCTCCTAATCCCGTGGAGGATCGACGTGTAAATGGGCAGTGACTGGCAGAGGCCAGTGCTGTGGGGAAGGCCAGTGGGGGCAGGGGCGTGGAGGATCCAAGGCCGGGCTGAGGGGTCAGAGTTGGCCGGGTGGGCCAGGCGGGGGGAGGGCTCAGGCTCGGGGAGGGAACAGCCCTCGCGCTGCCCACCCGGGCACCCGCAGCCGTCCCGTGGCCTCAGACCCCGGTGTGCTGGCCGCGCTGTCGGGCCCCTGGTGGCTGCACTGACGGGCCCCTGGTGGCCGCGCTGTCAGGCCCCTGGTGGCCATGCTGTCGGGCCTCTGGTGGCCGCACTGACGGGCCCCTGTGGCTGCGCTGTCGGGCCAGGTACCTGTTCCTGTTTGACAAGGCGGTCATTGTGTGCAAGAGGAGGGGCGACAGCTACGAGCTGAAGGAGATCATCGAGCTGCTTTTCCACAAGATGACCGACGACCCCATGAACAACAAGGACGTCAAGAAGGTGAGCCCCGGCTTCCTGGTGGCGACGGAGGGGCTTCTAAGGCTGGGCCGCCCGCTGCGCCCCTGAGGGAGGAGTTGTGGGGTGGCCAGAGGAAGCGTGGTCGGGTGGGCTGGCCTCCACCCGCTCTGTGCTGGGCCCGGCACCGCCCGCCCCCGCCCCCCGGCCTTTTGTCTGAGTCTTTCCTGGGGGGGCCTGGGGGGGCACGATCCGGATCGCAGCCCCCCAGTGAGGACCCTGAGCAGAGGGGTGTGGGGCCATGGCTGGTGAGGGAGGGGCCATGGCTGCTGGGGGGTGAGGCCATGGCTGCTGGGGGTGGGGCCATGACTGCTGGGGGTGGGGCCGTGGCTCCTGGGGTGGGGCCGTGGCTGCTGGGGGTGGGGCCATGGATGCTGCGGGTGGTGCGATGGATGCTGAGTTGGGGCTGCCGTGCTCTCTGGTTCAGTCCTGCTTCTGCACCCAGTGCTTGAGTACCTATGGTGTGCAGCCCTGGGCTGGGTGTGGGTGCCAGGAACCAAAGTGTTAGAAGAGGCTGGACTCCCGAGCTTACAGGTAGAATGCAGGTGCCACCTGGAAGAGCTATTGGGGGTGACCTGCCTAGCCCTGATGTCCAAAACAGGCCACTGGGGCCCTAGAAGCAGTGACCTGAGGCCACCTCCCAGGCTCAGGGCTGAAGACGAAGCCCCCCAAGTTCCGCCCCGGCACCTGCCCCTCTGGGGGGAAGGCCCTTGCCATGGTGGCCCCATCCTGGGGCACTTGGCAGCGGGCAGTGTCCTGGGTTGCGGCACCCACCGCGGGGCTGGGCCAGGCCTCTTGATGATCTCGTCTCCCCTTTTCCTTTCCTCTCCTCGCGCTTCCTAGTCTCACGGGAAAATGGTAAGCCCCTGACGCTCACGTGCTCGCCACCTTCCTCACCCCCGGGCCCGACGCCGGCACTTCCTTCCTGAGCTGGGAGTGGGGTCTGGGGAGCCGGGTGGGCCTGAGCCGGGCTGGGTT